CTGCTGAACAGCAAAAATTTAAGACTAGAAAAATGTTGATAACATTCCAAAACAGAGGAATATAAATTCTTTTAATAGTAAAGTAAGGTCAAGGTGACATGGAGAACACTAGACAGATAATGTCTAATCTACTGAAATAATTTTCTTGAAGGTACAAAAAAATTGGTGCATGCGCAGCAGATTTCAGCACTGATGATCAGCAGATACACAATGATTTGAGCAAGGGAGCTCAGGAAGAGCAGCTCAGCTGGAGCCTTGCTCCTATAAAAGCCGCCTTTCTTCTTCTGCAGCGACGCTTCAGATTTGTTTTCAACTAGGCTTGATGCACAGTTGATGCCATTTCATTTGCAGATCTGAAGAAATCATGTCAGTACAAGAAATGCAATAGTTTGGTTTTTTTTTATTTTGCAGGTTAATTAAATACTTTGTTTTTTTTTTATTTTGCAGGTTAATTAAATACTTATGGAAATGAGAGCTAAACAGAACTGGTTTGAGCCAACTTGCTTTATTGACTCTTGACTACCCGAATCCCGCTATGGCTTCAGGTATCTCACACCTTCTCTTCTTCCAGGTCTAGTTATAGGCTGAAGATCAGCCACCACACTTCAGCTGCACTTCATTAGATTCAGACCCAGTTCATTTATTAGAAGTTAACATTTTACTTTATCTTTGTGAACACCCATCGCAGCTGTTGCCCCATTTAAAAGAGGGCATTTACATTTCTTAATTGTGTTTCTCCTACTATTTCTTGCAGCTCTGATGTACTAAGCAAAGGCAGGTTGGGAGGAGATCAAGGTAAGAACATTCTGGCATTGCCAAAGTAGGATTTTTTAATGAGTACATCCCTCGTGGTGATTCCTGATGCAGAAATCCAGCAGAGTGTGGAGGAGGGAAAGTGTCCCACAGTCCATGTTTTGGTGGAAATGTAACGTTTATGTTTCTGCATGAGGCCATTAAGCGGCTGTGGCACATTTCAGCCAGAAGGTTTTAAAGCGTTGAGTCCTGGATTGGATCCAGATTGAGTGATGCATTCTTCCTCCCCAAATGCCTCTCGTAGATCCAGTTGGATACTGCTTTTGCCACTTTCTCTCCTAACCTGCGGGGCTGGGTTATGTGCTTGCTGATACACCTATCATTTCCACTGCAGAGGGAAGATGACTCAGAGCCGAGAGCATCAGTATGGATTTGGGAAATCCAGGTTTTCTGAATCATCCCAGGTTTCCCAACATGGGGCCAGTCATTTAGCCTTTCCATGCCTCAGAAGAAACGGAGATAACAACACATTATTATTTCAAAGCGGTGCTGCAGGCATAAGTACATGGAAGACTGTGAGGCACTCAAATATTACAGTAATCAAAGTCATACAAGTACCAAAGATTGACAGATCACATCTTCACAAAATCAGTAAGAAAATCTGCAAAGCATCTGGATGAAAACTAGTCCAGAAATACACAGATATACTACAGTATAAGACTCTTGTGCCAATATTTCTGTCTGACAGGAATTAAGATGAATTATCAATCACAAATATAGAAGACATCTATAAAACGTAAAATAAAACTGTATTATTATAATTTTAGTTCTTGATTTTCCTTATTTATCTTTCCAGCTCTCTTCCACTACTAATCTATCTTGTTTAGGAATAATAGTATATAAGTATAGTGGAGCTTGGTTACTGAGAATGGCTATTAATGTAGTGTCTCAGAGTGCTCTCTAGACAGTTAAAAGGCTTTTAACAGTAAAATATGAAGGTTTCCTTCAAATTTGCAGTCATCTGCCTTCTAAAAGTTTGTTTCAGTTGCCAACATTCAGTGATTTATAGGAGTCAAAGTATCTGATTTTTGTCTCCCCACAATAGATGAGAGCTCTATTTTATTATTTTGTGAAGGCAATGTCATTATCTTAAGCAGAAAAAAAAAAAGTACTACATTAAAGATACAGCTTTCAAAATAATTTTTTAAGGCATCTGGCCTTATTTAAACCATCAAATTTACATTCAATTCCTTCAGGGATGGCTCCGTTGCTTTGCGCTGGCTCTGTGCCCTCCGAATAAAGACCTGGATTTAATGCATGCCACCACTGCGTTTCCCTAGCTGCACCGCCGCTCGGTGTAGATATATAGTAGAGGTATAAAAAGCCTAACCTTAGACAAGATGATTCACTTAGGAAAAAAAAAAAACCACCTATAACTGTGTAAGTTTCAACTAGAGGTTAGACTTGTGACTAATGTCACTATCTATTTATTCTTAAATTATTAGTAGAAGTGTTTATGTACTATGAAACATTCTGTATGAGCTAGACGGGAAGCTATAAAACATTTTATGAGATCTACACACGGCTGATGGCAGAACGTTAATACAACGCTAGGGTTCATCTAAATTCAAGAAGTGCCAGAAAACAGGGTTTTTTTTTCCCCAGCGAGATCTTCACTTGACAAAGAGAAGTGTATTCTGAAAACCCAGGGGGGCCAAATTCTGCAAGGTCTTGAGTGTCTCCGGAGAAATATGGAGCACTGTCAGCTTCTCCTGATTTCGAGATGAAGGCAAGAGCCTTTTAAAGGGCTTTATTTCCTCGAAGAAAGCCTGAGGAAGGACAGGTCAGGAAATGAGATGAAGCCCAATTAGAAATCTGTGTCGTGCCTCCCTCACCTCTGACAATTTTCAAGTTGAATTATTATCCCTGTTTTGTGGACGGCTGGACTAAGGAAACCCAAAAAAACTAGGCAATATAACCACACAGCAAGGTGGACATTGAACTGTGAGCAAAACCCACACTCCGTTAGTTATGCAGTCTTATTCCTACTGAAACTGGTTCTGTTTCCCTTGTTCAGGTAACTAATAACATGTTAAATAATCAGCATAATCTGATTCAGTTACTATAAATCCTTGCTAAGAATCAAAATGATTTACAAGTTGAAATTACACAAGCACAAAGAAATTCACAGCCGTTAATTGAATCTCAAACTGATTTTTATACATATAATAAAGAAAAAGTTTAAGGTAAAATGTGTAGCACCAGCTTAAACATACATCTCTGGTTCTGCAGCACGTCAAGTGGTGTTAAGACGCGTTCTGTATGCAGCACGAGTCCTAGTGGTCTCATTTTTGTTTTAAACAGAGTTAAAGAAAACTCTGAAGATGAGAAAAAAAGCGATTGCTTCCCAAAAATGAGAATAAACTGGGTTAGTCCAAGATAGGGAGACATAACCTACCTTGTTTTACTCTAAATTCAGCTCACTGCCTTATGTAGAGAAGTGAAAGGTTATTATATGGGTTTATTGAGCAAACCCAGATTTTATAAATAATTGCCTGTCAGACTGTTCAAGATAGACAAACATACAGCAGACCAACAAAAACATGATCTGTCATATTTCTGAGAGAAATGTATGTTGAGTCTTCATTCTCTGGGACTTTAAGTAGACCAGTAAAAAATAAGTGCCAGTATTTTTCCTGCTTATGCATATTTTAAAATGTAAAATCTGGGAGAGATACAGCTACGGAAGGAATTTTGATTCCAGTACCCAGTGCCTGAAACGGTTTCTTCTGTCTATATCCCTGCAGATCGAAACCAAATACAATAAATGCTGGTGTCCTTTTAAAAAGTCTGGATGTTTACAGCAAGCATATAATTTTCCATGATTAAGGACGCCAACAAAAATAAGAGTGATGATAAAAAGAAAAGTTTAATCATATATTTCAAGAAGCACAGATGGAACATCAGAAAACTTCCCCCCTCCCGTTTAATACGCTGCAATGGAAAAATTACTTTTAGCCCTTTACACACAGATTAACTCCAGGAAACAGAAGCCTAAGCAGGTAAAAGAAAAAAGCAATTTATGAATGGCAGTAATATTTGATGTACAAAGTTCACTTTTACAATATTTTGTTTGAAAGGAGAAGAGACATTTTTCTGTTTATTTAAAATATATATATATATATTTAAGGTTTTTGCAAGCAGGTCCAGGAAAGCAGGGCAACAAAACCACTTACAAATGACCGCAAGAGCATACAGTGGGAGTAAAAATTAAGACCTCACATACTAAGCACAAAGGAGGAGGTCGGCTGCACTATGTAAAAGTAATATTTTGCTGATCTCCTCTCGATCTCTTGAGTGCTCTGTCTCAATTTGAGGTTTAAGTTAGATTTCAAGGCTGGGCTAAGAGCGGCCGAAGCAGACCCCTGGGCCCATGGGGTGCCACAGGGACACAAGCAGTACATGCCTGTAGATCCTGATGACGGCCTGAAGCATCAGCCCTTTTCTCTGGTCAAGCATCATCGTGGTTAGCTCTATATTTGTACAGTTTTTATGGGAAGAAATGAATGTGTTTGTGAGGCCAGCAAAGGCTGGAGGAGCAGGGGACGGGAAGAAGCATAGAGGGAGGGACTGAGATTTAAAAAATAAATCTGAAAACAAACAACGTGAACTAAAATATAAAAAAGGCAAAAAAGAGCCCATTTCTTCTTTAACCAAATCCAACAGTAACGCTGCCTTTGTCAACAACAGAGACAACATCTGCTTCCTGCAGCAAACGCTGAGCAAGTACATAACATTAAGCCTTTGCCTAGAACCACCGAGACAGACACAGTTATTTAAATACTTTAGGATGTATTTTTCTGAATAGGGGCCCAATCCAGTGCCAAATCACTGCAAAGGCTTTCCTTGATTTTGGAGAGCGATGGCTCGAGCCCTAGGAGAGGAATGGAATAAAAATAGAGGTAGCAATATTGAGAATTTGGGGCTGACCGCCTGGCATATCCTTGGGTCTGCGAAAAGACAAGTCTCTAACTGGTAAAGTACAGTTTACCTGAACTTTTCTCTGAATATCTTAGGATCTGAACTTGCTATTACTCTCATCAAAGAGCCCCTTACTGGATTAAACTGAACACTGAAAAATTGTTTGAGAGAAATCAGTGGAAAAAAGTGGAAAATAATAGTGGAAAATAGTGGAAAACAGTTTTTCTTTTTGTAAAAAACACACGGAAAACCTACATAACCTAAACGTAACCTATATAAACCTATATAACCCAGTCTATCTCTGGCCTCTTTCTGCCCCATCCTGCTTTACAAAAAAACATCTCCAGGAGAACATACAGACTCCCAAACACTTAAATAAAAATGACATCACATTTCAGAAAGAGGCTGACAGCAGCAAGTCCCCTGCAAACTTCAGCATTGTCTGATCTGCATTCTTGTCCACCTACACGCTATCCCAAACATCCTGCCATTAATTAGCTAAATGTTCCAGCTAGTAAACAAGAATAACGATTGAGGGGGCTGGAAAAAGAGACGGAGTCAGCCAGCAGATAGTCACAACAAACCAGCCCACTCACTGGTACACAGAGACATTGGAGCTTGTATTTTTTTTCCTTCCATGGAGGGGAAGAGAAAATCACCTTAATATAACACTGCCTTTCCTGTTGCTGCAGCCACATCCATATTAGCAGGCGAGAAAAGTCATCCCGTTTCTGCGGTAGGCACTCTGTCAAAGAAAGAGAAAAATCTGTAATGAATTATCACATCAACTTAAACAAGGGAAGAAGGCAGAGAGAAAGGCAAGGCTTTCTTCCTGTTTTGTAGACTATTCTGGCTGCAATCTAATAGTGTGCTTAATCTGAACATTTCTGGTGGGGAAGCTATAAGCAACCACTTTGTCTATTAAAAAATCAGTGTGGTTAACAAGTGGTTAGCGACCCTATTTCAGGAGAGCGAGAGATATGCAAAAATGTAACATCCTATTTTGTTAATTGCCTGCAAAATAGATGAGGCCAAAAATACACTATTATGCTGAATCTGTTTGTCCTCTATGAGCATGTGTTCTCTATTCACTGTGTTCAAGAATCATTTCTGACCTATCTTAATAGTCTATAAATTACTGAATAATTAGAGTTTTCTGAACCTAATTTATAGTCTGAGTCTAAAGCTATGTAAACAGACACTGGTAAAACCCCCACCCCCCCAAAACCAAATCAATTTTAAAGACCCTCTGATCAGTACAAAATAATTTGATATCCCATATATTGTAAACTGGGATCAAGTGTTTCCAATGGTAAAGAAGCACAAGAGTTAAACAGCATTTGAGAAAATAATTTTAAAAGATCCTGTGACACTGTCTCACTAAAATACCTTTCATGCATTTTTAACATCTCTTTCTGAATCAATATAGGAAGCTATGCCTTTTTACCCCAGGCACACTGGAAACCCTATATTTTAAGGGGATATTCTCAGTTTAAAAATTTAGTGCTTTTTTTGTGTGATATTAATGATATCTTCAAAAAGGAAAGTAGTTTAAATACTTTTGCTTTATTTGGTTCACCTTCAGCAGTCATTCAGTTTTGAAAACGAAAATACAGTCATCTACTTCATTACAGTTAGTGCTTCGTCAGATTTATTTTGTACCTCTTAAGTTCAAGCACTTAGGAAGTGCCATATATAACTACCTGCTTTTTTTGTGTGATATTAATGATATCTTCAAAAAGGAAAGTAGTTTAAATACTTTTGCTTTATTTGGTTCACCTTCAGCAGTCATTCAGTTTTGAAAACGAAAATACAGTCATCTACTTCATTACAGTTAGTGCTTCGTCAGATTTATTTTGTACCTCTTAAGTTCAAGCACTTAGGAAGTGCCATATATAACTACCATTTTTAGTGGCTCTACCAATTTCCTAATTAATTTCAGCGAGATCAATTTCTCCTCTCTCAAACTAGAATTAGAAGAGTATCACTAAGAGCAAAGGATAACCTCAAACAACTTTGTGTATAAATAGTATTTATACTGAACTGTACGGAAATAGTTTCAAAAACAGCAAGCATGTATTCAGAGAGACATTTACGGACACTGAATATGCAAAAGGAAATATGTACAAGATGTTCATTACAGCATCCTTTACATTAACACCATACTCCAATACAGAGATCTAGCAGCATATGGCATTGAAGTCAAAGAGCAGAATATTAGCTCTGGGATATATAGCCAGTCATCAGACATGACAGTATCACCGCAAACAAACAAACAAACAAAAAAATCCAAAGACTCTATACCCAAACATGAAACGCACAAAAACAGACTAGCCAATAATTTTGAAAGGATCCAATGTATTCCCACAACCACAAGCAGCAAGTCCAAGGGAGTTTGGATCTGCAGCTTGCCCAAACCATTACGGCTGGCATTTTGAAGTCGATGCAAAAGTAATGTTTTTAGCTCCTTGACCCTGATATTTTTACAGAGCTTATAACCCAAGTAACAACCTTTAACACATAAACAAAAAGTATTCAGGGCTATTGTGCAGTTTGCTTGAAGATAAATGAACCCGAGTATAAAGTTGGATCCACATGAAAGATAAAAGGTTGAATTTTGCAAAAGGAATTTCGGTTGCAAAGCAAAGTTGGGCTTGGCTGGGCTCACCTGGGAAATAATGAAGTTTAACATTTTCCAACATGGGCAATATCATACGGTTAGTTATATCCCTGAAAAGGTCATTTTAGAAGCAGGTTTCAGAGGAGGGAGGATAACACCTTCAGAAAGTTGGACACACCCACCAGTCTATATTTAGCAATATATCATAACTAGTGTGGCTATAGTTAGGATCGAAAACTATTTCCTACTTAACTCCCTGTTTCACATAGTTTAAACTTTCTGAAACATTTGCCCTTGGGCTGAAGTTTCCTCTGCTTTAATCTCTGCCTGAAGTTCAATTTCTTTGGAAAGGACCAACAAAATTCCTTAAGCCATTTTGAAGTTCAGCAATAATGAAAACAACACATTTTTCCTTCCCGAGCCAGAGAAAGTGATTCTGATATATGCATATTTTATTACGGAATTTAGCCATAAATTGAAGCATTTTACCCAGAAACAATCTTTACCTTCAACCTCAGCTTAAAGGTAACTGTTTTGAAAATCAGTATTTCAGAGGAGGGAGTTTGATTCATCCCATTCCATAACAAGATAACACTTCGTTCTTATTTTGATACACTACTAGATAATAAAGGTTAACCTCCAAAATGCTTTTAATGCATACCAAAACTATTTTACAGTCATCATTCTCAGTTATACCAATATATGCTATTAAGATATAAGATATATACAGCTGAATTCATGATACTAAAAGACATATCTTTACATGCCAAGAATTGTGAAGAGAAAGAAAAAGATGTTTTTTATAAAACTTGCATGTCTATGTGCCCTTGCAAGAGAGAGTGTATACGTATGTGGCAGTCCTTTAATGTGGTTTGATATAATGTAAAGGGTTTGGATGACACTTTTGGGTACTTTATGCCACTTTGGCAGTATCCAATTTTTTAAAAGAAATAAGATTATTTGGCTCAGAATTACAGATAGAGGATGATGCAGACTCTTGATGTGGGACTAAAATGGCAAGCCATAGCTGTATCCATTTTGCTGGATACGTCTTGCTATAGCCCAAAGTCAGGAGATAACATAAGCCCACGGTCCCTCCTGGAGCCCTTTTTGGAAAAGTGTCTACTGCATCCAAATTTTTGTGTGCTCTCTCAAAATTTACTGTCTACCAGCCTGTGCTTTGATTTTTCCTGCTGTGGGCTGACTCTTTGCCATGGTTGAAGGTCCGTAGGCCTGTTACTGTACCCGCTATGTGCGCGGGTGGTCAAGGGACCACCTTTTAGACATGTGAAATCACCTAGCTTGGCACAAGTTACACAGTTCACCTTCCTAGAACAGATTCCATGCTCTAAAAAGTTGACATAACCTTATTTGGCCAATCTGGCTCTCACAGAAACTCTTCTTGCTCCTTGCTATCATATGACAAGATTCTGCATCCCCTTCTCTGACCTTGTTAAAGGTGAAAGGACAGATTGCTGCCATCCACAACCAGAGGCTAAGCAGGCTGGACCAAAGTGACAACAGAAACATAACCTTCATCTTGCCCAGTCCACTCTTGCCATGTGCTCCCATTCAGGGGAGAGGCATGATGATTTTGCTGCTTACTCCTCTACTTCCCAGTCCTGACCCCAGCCCATCTAGGCACCATGTGAAGAACCTTCTCACGGCTTCTCAAGCATCCTCTATCTGCCTATAGTATAGGAACCCTAGCTTGAAAAGGTTGCCCCTTCAAGTTATCAAAGCACATTGGATTCTGATACAAAGATCTTCTCTGGGAATGCTATCATTATTTAATAAATGAAGGTAGGGGTTTTTCCTAACAGTCTGAAAGGAGGTACAATGAAGCAGAAAAGATGAGCACTGCTGTCAGTCATCTAAAAGCAAGATCATGTTTTGCCCTTAGTTTGGTGAAAGAAGGGAAAACTAACAGCTGAAAAAAGGCAATCTGGAACAAGAGGCCTTGGTCAAGTAACTCCTCAAATTTCATGAAAAATCATCCATTTTCTACTCTCTTTTTTGGTCCCATGTCTCTCCTGTAGTGGTAGCCCGAGGTAGTGTATTATGAAGGACCACAAAGAACCGCTCCATGAAGAGGGCAGCAAAACTCCTGTCCCCACAGTAGGTCACATGAAATGGAAGAGTTCATAGGACCAATTTAGGGGCAGAAAATAATGTGTTTATTAACGCAAGATATACTGAAGCTGTGATTTAAAGAAACAAGTCCCAGCCAAACCTCAATTAGGTAACATATCAGATTAGAAAACTAAGACTTCTGAACAGGCACCTTAGCTAGAAATGGTTTCCAGTTAACAATTTACACTAGTGCATAATTTCACAGCTGTAGCATGATGAGAAAGAATAATTTTGGCAAGAGAAAGAAACAGCTGTGATTTTTCAGTGGGCCAATGTTTAATTCTTATTTGGGATAAAATTTGGAAAGTCTAGGGTAAAACATCTCCAGCGGGCATCGTAGACACCAAAGTTTATTGGGCCAAAACCTCCATTGGTTTAAGTCTGCAGTTCTGCTAACATTAAAGCCAAGGTACAATGTCATGCCACAGGTCTGTTGTATCACTTAGCGATGATAAATCCTGAATTATAGGTCCTGTATAAGCAAGTTACAGAGCAGCATTTTTAAAACTTGAAGTCTCCCTTTCTTTTTGTCCTCGTGTATGTGTGTGGGCAAGTGGTTTAACTACAATGCATAAAGTGGAATGGCAGACAGAGACATCAAAATCAAAGAGCAAGTCCTGGCTGAACTTCATTAGCAAATATAAATACAGATAGGCACATCTTGTTTGTGACATGCCACGGTCCTTTCCTCCTTTGGTAATTTTACTCTATTCTCTGATATTTGCATAAATGTAAATCAAACCATATGACTTCAACAGGCTTATGATAGGGGAATCATATGCAAAACTTTTTTTCATCAAATAGTTCTCTTCATGCAGTCTTACAATGTTACTGTGAAAATCAGGGAGGATTAGATCTCAGACAGTGAAAGCCTTTATTTAAGAACAGTGGAGGGAGCCCTGCCCTTTAAATAAGAGACATTCTTGGATCAGACACTGGCTGGCAGGATGGAAAAAAGGATGTAGCATTAACTTTCATTCCATTCCAAATAA